TGGGTACTTTATACCTCGGCAGAGAATTATCTATATAGGTCCACGATATCGTACAGCTCTTATATAACGGTACTGCCGATATTCGGTATTTTGATGTTTTTAGCCATATTTTTCCACGGAATGGTCACAAAGGGTTCTTTGTACACAAGGGGTTCTTTGTAAGCACTTTACCCCCCGACAGAGAATTCTCTATATAGATTAACGATAACATATAGCCCCCATATAACGGTAGCCCCGGTATTCTATATTATGATGATTTTAGCTATATATTCCAATTGTATTCTCTGAAAATCCACACAAGGATTTCTTTGTGAGCACTTTAACCCCTGAAAAGTATTTGTCTATATAGGTCAACAAAATCGTATATCCCCCATATAACGGTACCCCCGATATTCGGGATTTTGATGATTTTACCCACATTTTCCAATGGAATTATCTGAAAATCCACACAAGGTGTTCCTTGTGAGTACTTTACCCCCAGATATAGATTTGTCTATATAGGTCCACAATAGCGTATATCCCCCCATATATCGGCACCTTCCGATATTAGGTATTTTAAAGATTTTAACAGAATTTTCAATGGATTTTATTTATTTTCTTTTTTTTTTTAATATTTTCTAATTCGTTCCAAATGGTGGAGGGTATTCAAAGTTCGGCCGGGTCGAAATTACTGCTTTTTTACTTGTTAATTTATAATTTATTTGTAGACTCAACAAATATGATCAACATAAAAATATATTCTCATCAATGGAGTTATGGCCATTTCCTTTTCTTTGCATTATTGGACTACCACTCTGTTGGTGTAACAAACTATAGGTATCTCCACGGTCAGATATACAATACTTTGCTACCAATAGCTTCCATTATGGTTAGGTTACCCGACCAAACTATCAATCCGTTGCTGAACACAATTTCCATTTTATTTCTATCTAAGGATTCCTGCTGCTGCTGTCTGTCGGTCTGTCAGTTCGCTCTGCTCATTTCGTTTATTGTTAACTTATTTATTTGTTAGCAGATGAAAAACAACAATGAGTGTTTTTGTTGTTTCGGCGGCGAATGCGGCGGTGTTGTTGTTTGTCGTGGTGTATTGGTCATGTACAAACACTTTTCAAACTGAAATGCTTTTCTTTGGGTTGTCTTTGTTTGGTTCTTGTGTTTTCTTTTCTTTTTGTGGCATTCGATGAAATTTTTTTCTTCATTACAAATGTCCCCCCTTTTGGGGTTTCACCCAGATTTCCTTTTTTCTTTCGTTTTTGGTATTTATATGAGTTTTCTTGTAGTTTGGCTTCAATTTGCACTTTATTTGATTCGAATTTACCACGCTGTACATTTTTCAAATTTTCCATTATTAGTTAGTTGGAAAGGATGTGTAAAAAAGGAAAAAAGCCAAAGGAAAGTCGAGTTCGCTTGGGTTCATTTCAAAAAAAGCCTGTGAATCTTGGGCCTTATTCGCGTTTCCGGCAAAAAGTCGCCTTTTGTTCCCATTATACATTGTATTGTTGTTTAGTGTTTAGTTTCTTTCTTTTTTCATTTTTCATCACAGAAAATATTTTTGTTCCAATTTTCTCTGATCAGGATATCCTTCGCTTCTCAATTTTCTTGGCATTGTTTAAATTGTATTGTATTGTGTGCGTGTGTGTGTGTGTGTGGATGGGTATAGTGGGCAATAGCATGGCATTTTCTAGTTCAGCCATTCATTCATTCGTTGGCTTATTCAAAATAGAAGAAATTGGTTTGTATTGAGCACACATACACACATATAACAATAATACAATTAATTTTTGTTGTTGTAAAAATAGAAAAAAAAACCGTACAAACTGAAATTGATTTGAATGCTTTGTTATGCGACATTGTTGTCGTGCCACAGGAAGAAGCCTATAAAACTAAGACTTTTCTTATTTGTTCTCTTTTTTTTTTTTTTTTTTTGTTCACTTCACTTCTTCTGTTCAAAACTACACATAAAGGATAATTGAACTTGTATTAGTGTATTTGCATATGGTATATACATATGTATGAATTCATATTTATTCAATTATTTAGATTCGACATAGTTAACACAAATAATTGAAACGGATTTCCTTTATTTAATCGCTAAGCCTACATCATGCATTTATATTAAAATGAGAATTTTAGGGTTCCATGTAGGAGTTCGGAAATGTTGTGGAGGAACAAATCCCTGGGAATGTGGAATTAGGTATTGTGTCATGAATTCATTATAGCAGCTGGACATTTTCGTTTTGTAAGTAAGGAGTGTAAGAAATCCATAGATACATGTAAGCAGCACTTCTTCTTTCAGTTCGATCTACAGGGTGCGATAAAAAAACTGCAACAAAGCCAAACGCCATAATTTTTACATATTTTTAAAATTTTATACAATGAAAGCAAACAAGTTAAAAAGCAGAAAGTTCGGCCGGGCCGAACTTTGAATACCCTCCACCATTTGGGACGAATTTGGAAATTTAAAAAAAATATAATCCGTAAAAAATTCTGTTGAATTTTAAAAATACCGAATATTGCCGTTATATTGGGGTCTATGCGACGTGGACCTACATATGCATGGTTTGCCTTTAGCCATTACCATATTCAAATTCGAAACTTGAAATAAACGGTGAATAATGTGGCTAAAATCATCAAAATATCGTATATAGGGAGATACCATTATATCGGAGCTGTGCGAAGGCCTGGACCAGCATAGAAAATTTTCTGTCACAGGCTATAGCATCCATTACTAACGTCAAATACAATATCTCAAACAATTTCAGTGGGTATTGTACCTAAAATCGTCAAAATACTGAATATAGGGAGGTACTGATGTATGGGGCCTATACGAAGACCTGGACCTGCATAGACATTTTTCTGTCATAGACTGTAGTTTCCATTACGAACTCTAAATACGTAATTTAAAACAATTCCGGTGAATAATGGCGTTAAAATCAACAAAATACCGAATTTTGGGAGGTACCGTTATATGGGAGCTATACGAAGACGTGGACCTGCACAGACAATTTTCTGTCATAGGCTGTAGTATTCATTACGAATCTCAAACACCAAATATCAAACAATTTCGGTGAATTATGTCGCTAAAATCATCAAAATACTGAATGTAGGGAGATACCGTTATATGGGGGCTATACGAAGACGTGGACCTGCACAGACAATTTTCTGTCATAGGCTGTAGTATCCATTTCGAACTTCAAATACCAAAGTTGAAACAATTCCGGTGAATAATGTCGCTAAAATCATCAAAATACCGAATATCGGGAGGTACCGTTATATGGGGGCTATATGAAAACGTGGACCTACATGGCCCATTTACAAACTTAACCTGCCTACTGAAAAAATAAACAGGTGTGCAAAATTTTAGCCTTCTATCTCAATTCGTTCGAAACAAAGCGTGATTACAACAGACAGACAAACAAACGGACAGACAGACAGACGGACATGGCTAAATCGACTTAGAATTTTACGCTGATCAAGAATATATCTACTTTGTTGGATCTGACATGAGTATTTCGAGGAGTTACAAACGGAATGACAAAGTTAATATACCCTCCATAGTATGGTGGAGGGTATAGAAATGTTGGAAATAGCATCAGATTTTAGAATAAGTTTAGATTGTTTCAAATTGGTCACCTTTGGCACGAATTATGGCCTTCAAACGGCTAATGAAACCGTCACACGCTGCCCGAATGTTGCTTTGCGGTATTTTGCCTCATTCCTGGCGAAGCGCTTGCTTGAGGTGATCGACACTTTGGTATTTTTTAGTGCCAACCTTGCTTTCCAAAATACTCCAGTCACAATAGTCCAATGGATTGGTATCCGGAGGTCTTAGTGGCCATTGTGCGCTGAAAATGAAGCGAGGAACCTCATTTTGCAACCATTCTTGGGTGGTGCGTGCTGAGTGCGATGGTGCTGGGTCCTGTTGGAATGTCCAAGGTCTGCGGCCAAAATGTTTGCATGCCCAAGGCTTTAATACACCCTCCAGAATATTTTCGCGATAATATTCGGCACTTATTTTGATGCCACGGTCGATTAATACGAGCGGAGAGCGACCATCGGCTGTTCATCACCATGGCCGGCACTTGAGTTCTGGTGGCCAACCGAAGGTGCACATTCTCAACTGACCTCTTTGTCAAGTAAACACGATCATTTTATTTGCGTACAAACTGCTGGACAACAAATGTTTTCTCATCGGAGAAATCTAAATTCGTCAGTTCACCACTTTCGCAATTATTTAGAACTCTTGTGTCTATTTTCTTTCTGTTGCGGTGTAAGTTCTTGATTTTTTTTTGGAATTTCAATGGCTTTACCCCGAGCTCATTTTTCAATATTTTCCGAATGGAATATTGCGACATCTTCAGCTCATGAGCCATTTTTGGGCCACTGCGATGGGGGTTTCGATCAAGTCGCTTCATTAATTTTCGAACCATTTCTGCTTATGTTGCAGTTTTCCGCCCACTTCCTTGACGTCGGGCTACGCTAGCAGCAATTCACATTTCAATACTAGAGTCCTCTAACGATAGCCACTTGGGGTTTTCCAGCCAAATATAAAAAAAAATCAAAAATCACATTTAAATTCCATCACGAATAACTTCTGAAATATTCTCACAAAAATGCTTTTGAACGCTCGTAAACATTATATTGAACTGTCACTGGAATAATTTTTAACAGCTGTCGGACGAGTGGCTTAGAAATGACATCAGTCTAAAGTTTGTTGACGTTTTTTCATCTCACCCTGTAAGTTCAAATCATCCATTCCTTGCCTTATATCTACGGATGTTCCAAACGATATTAATATAAAATTAAGTATATTATAACCGCACACTTTTTGCAACTATATTCTATTGCACAATAAATCTCTCAACTATTTATTAAAATCCAGGAAGAGTTCTATAATGTCATCACATCAACATCAACGAATTTAAACAGTTTCTTAAGGGATAAAGATGTTCTTTTACATGTTATAATTAAATCGTATTTAGAAAATCTTGTTAACTTACTTTGAACATCATTTCCATGTGGTCGCATCTGCAAGAAAGGATAAGAAACATCAATTTTATAATTCAGTCATGTTATATTGTTTTTAATTTAATTAAATCGAACATCAATTATTTGAGTCAATAAATAATTCAAAAGACATACAAAAATAGTTGTTACATACAAAAATAGTTGTTAGCTTATAATAATAGAAAATATTAAACATGTCTTTATATTATATTAGTTTAATGAAATGTGGATATAGGCAATAAATTAACAATAAGTCAATGTAGAACTAACTTTAATCTTCTTTATCAGAATCAAAGAGAGTAACGATTCTTCGATGGTATTTTAAAAAATCTATAAAACTTTACAATTTTTTTTTCTGCAGTTAATTTTGTTCTAATATTTTGAATCCTTTGAGGAAATAACAGTCGGACTCTCCAAGAGCTTATGTTTTTTTTAATCAAATTTTAAATGTCGGGTATTTCTTTCCTTTATTGGGGAATAATTCGATATATTATATATTCGAACGAGGGTAACAGGTGTGTCTTCAGACGGCGGTTGCACAAAAAATTAGTAGTTACCAAATAATGGGCTTTTTTAAATATTTTGGTACCATTAATAACTAACAAAACAGCATTCTAGTGCTCTGAATGTGAACATAGGAAGCAAGAGTTTAATTTATGTTTGAATTCACAATTTGTGTACCCTCCCCGGTGGAGGGTAATTAAAAAAGAAAAACTTTGATCCTTTCAGTTTTTTTACGTTAAGTCGAGAATATGATGCCATGTAAATGGCCGCCTCCAAAGTTTATTATCATTTGAGCCAAAACTTTCGGCGATATGTCCTCACATTCTTGACGGATATTGTCTTTATGAGCTGAAAGAATCTGAGGCTTGTTGACATAAGCCCGCGACATCAAAAAGCCCCACAAAAAGAGAGTCTGGAGCGGTCAAATCAGGCGAATTTGCTGGCCAGTGCAAATCGCCAAAACAATCTCCCGTCCGAAAATACATCCTTCAGCATACCGATTGTGCGTGGTAGTGCGATTTTTTATGTTTGGCTGGAAAACCACAAGTGGCTATCGTTAGAGCCCTCCAGCATTTAAATGTGAATAAATCTGTTGTGTCTCGTACCATCGCTCGTTACCGTGATACTGGTAGCGTAGCCCGACGTAAATGAGTGGGCGGAGTGACCAGCAACATCAACAGAAATAGTTCGAAAAATAAAGGAACGACTTGATCGAAACCCGCGTCGCAGTGGCAGAAAAATGGCTCGTGAGCTGAACGTATCGCAATATTCCATTCGGCAAATATTGAAAAATGAGCTCGGGGCAAAGCCATTGAAATTCCAAAAAGAGCAAGAACTTACACAGCAACAGAAAGAAAATAGACTCAAAAGCGCTAAGGAATTGCTTCGCTTGGCCGAAAGTGGTGATCTGACGAATTTGGTTTTCTCCGATGAGAAAACATTCGTGGTTCAGCAGTTTGTAAACAAACAAAATGATTGCATTTACTTGCCAAAGAGGTCAGCTGAAAATGTGCACCTCCGGTTGGCCACCAGAACTTAAGCGCTGGTCATGTTGATGGTGTGGACCGCCATAACAGCCGATGGTCGCTCTTTGCTCGTATTAATCGACGGTGGTTTTAGAAAAATGCCGAATATTATCGCGAAAATATTGTGGAGGGCACGCAAACATTTTGGTCGCAGACCTTGGACATTTCAACAGGGCACTCAGCACGCGCCACCCAAGAATGGTTACAAAATGAGGTTCCTCGCTTCATTTCAGCCCACAATGGCCATCAAAACCTCCGGATACCAATCAGTTGGACTATTGTGTCTGGAGTACTTTGGAAAGCAAAGATGGCAATAGAGCAAGTGTCGATCACCTCAAGCAAGCCTTTCTTCGGGAATGGGCCAAAATACCGCAGAGCAACATTCGGGCATCGTGTGACGGGTTCATTTTCCGTTTGAAGGCCATAATTCGTGCCAAAGGTATCCAATGCGAACAAATCTAAACTTATTCTAAAATTTGATGCTATCTCCGACATTTTTTGCTTTCATTCAATAAAATTAAAAGATATATAAATATTATGGCTTTTGACTTGGTTGCAGTTTTTTTTATCTCACCCTGTATATATTTATAACTCTCGAAGGTAGTATCAGATTTGGGCCAAACTGGATAAAAATCCCAGGTATTTTTGACCTAATCTGATTCAGGACATGTGGAGTCCATCTTGGAGTGTCCATCCGTCCATCTGGCTGGTATCTCTCGAAAGGATTATACGATTTGGTCCAAACTTTGCACACGTTATATTTTTATCAGACTTAGATCGAGTTCGGAGCCAAGTAGGCCAATACCGGCCCAATCCTTCTGATACTTCCCTCACAAAAAAGTTCAAATTTTCAAAGAAAATATTTTATTTCGTAGAACGAGAAGAAAATCATCCGATTTTATTCCAACTTTACAAATCCTAATATTTGCATCAGATCAAGTGCGAAAATGGACAATATCGGCCCATTCCATCAAGTATCTCAAAATTTAAGATATTGAACAATTATATCTCTCATAGAATGTGAAATAAGGATCCGATTATTTGTAAACTTCACTCACTCCAATATTTCTTTCAACCAGAGTTCTGGTGTGAATATGAAATATGTCGGCCCACTCCTGCAGGTACTCCACAAAGAGTCAAAATTTTGCATAAATGTATCTCTCATAACAAGCAAACTTTTTATGCTTTTTTATCTGAGTATTTTTTTCAACCAGAGATCCAAATATTGAGTTTATTGCCCCAGTCTTTCTGGTAGCTGCCTCAAAAAGGATCAACGTTTTGAAAAATTACAACCCCTATAATGATATTTCGGCCCACTCCTACTGGTTAAAATGTTGGCTAATATTTTTTTTTATAGAATTGTATCAGTATTAGATGGGATGGAATACTTCGCCCACTATATCTTGTAACTTCAACATATTGTCTAAAAATTATCATATATCTAATAAAAAGTACAGACAGCAGTCGATATTGGCCATATCATGCACCTTGCAATATTTATATCTGATATAGGTCAGGTTAGGTCATAACGCAAGTCAACATGTATGTAAACAAACAGATATTGACTGAAATATTAGATTTTTTAAAATGGCCATAACTGCTTAAATATTGACATTTCTGGGATTTTAGCTATAATTTGTGATCACTTTTTAAGCCATGAAATATTAGATATTTTAAAATGGCCATAGCTCCTTAAATATTGACATTTCGGGGTTTTTAGCTATAATTTGTGATCACTTTTTAAATAATGAAATATACGATATTTTAAAATGGCCATAACTCCTTAAATATTGACATTTCGGGGTTTTTAGCATTTATTTGCGATCACTTTTTAAGAAATGAAATATTAGATTTAATATATCTATATATGCCATAACTCCTTAAATAATGACATTTCGGGGTTTTTAGCTATTATTTGTGATCACTCTTTAAGCCATGAAATATTGAATATTTTAAAATGGCCATAACTCCTAAATATTGACATTTCTGGGTTTTTAGCTATAATTTGTGATCATAAAATATTATATATTTTAAAATGGCTATAGCTTCTTAAATATTGACATTTTTAACTATTATTTGTTATCACTTTTTAAGCCATGAAATATTAGATATTTTAAAATGGCCATAACTCCTTACATATTGACATTTTCGGGTTTTTAGCTATTATTTGTGATCACTTTTTATGTCATGAAATATTAGATATTTTAAAATGGGCATAACTCCTTAAATATTGACATTTCTGAGTTTTTAGCTATTATTTGTGATCACTTTTTAAGCCATGAAATATTAGATATTTTAAAATGGCCATAGCCCACTTAGTTGAAAAATATTTGTAAGAACTATTTTTTTTTTCCAAAAATCATGGAAATATGCTACCCCTCTTGTTCGACTTTTAAATTCACTCAACAACCAACTGTCACCCTAATGTTGACAATAAAGTATAATCCTTTCGTCGACTCTAATTGAAATCTCATTTTGGGAATACAATTTTCTAATTTTCTATTAATGCACACTTGCACTTCACAATAAATGTTGCCAAGATGTTGTCGTCCTTTTGGTTGAAGCCAGCAGCAGCAGCAACAACTACACAACGACGATGAAGACGACAACAACGACGACGACAGTGCTGATGATGATGATGATGACCAAGCCAGGCAAGCAGGCTGGCATGGCAGGCAGATACACTGTTTGTTGTATGTATGTATGTATGTTTGTATGTACAGCAAAACATTCAGTTATCGAAAAAGGAACACGAACACGTACCGAGTAATCAATTGAGAAATATCAATTCATTAAATCAACAGAAAATGTCAATTGCTTTAAGTGACAAAACACTTAAGAAACCAACCGAGATGCAGACACAAATCCAAATACTAACACAACAGCGTGGCCAAGGAGTGAAAAATGGAGCTGGGGCCAGCGAGCGGCAACGGGACAAATTGAAATTGTGACAAATATAAATAGAGACGACACTGACACAGGCACACATCGACTTAAAATGGAAAAGACATTGAAGTAAATACAATTACATAGAAATGTTGTAGTTCATCTTGGATTCCAAGTAGGGATTTCTGCGTAGGATATGGTGATGCGTTGACAAAGTGTTAAACTTAAGTTAATGCACACAACGCAAGAACAAGAACTTAATACAAAATAAGCTCACTGCACAAGGGTGGGGTGGGCTAAGGCAGAGGGGTAGGAGCACAATCATTGGTTTAAATATTTAAACTATTTCGGACATCAGGAATTGCTGTAGTTGTTGATTGTCAGAGGAGTGTTTTAGCAGAAGCAGGGCAACGATTTATTTTACAAAATAATCTTTTACTTGAAACTTAATCTTTAATTTTAAGAAAACAGAATTATATTTATTTGTATGTGCTGCATGACTGGAATTTTTAATATGTCTATATGCAAATTGGCTCTTCAGGTTGGAAATAAATATGATTCGAAATAGTAATAAGGATGTAATTTATAATTTTCAATTCGGAATAC